TTAAGCAGGTCATCATGGGAGACTTCACACAAAATCTGTAAAAGTTTGGACCAGCAGGTGGCATAATAGTTATGTTACTGGACTCCGACATAGCTGACCACAGTTTGAATCCCAGACTTGGCAACTTAAAACTCACGCTGGGCACATCACGTGCATGCCCAAAATGTCCAGAAGAGAAGGGATTGTAGCATGGCCATCCCTCCAAGGACGTGATTTCTCGCTTTCTGTCTCTCTGTCTCTCTAGTGAGCCCTCATGCCCTATAGCAAAAATCTCTCTTAAAAAGAAGTCTATTGTACTCAGTGGGGAACAGAGTAGAGACAGTGTTGCTTGAAACTTATTTGATCCTGAAATACTTCTTCCCTCAAACAGTCACTAAATCTCCAGAGAGGACCAGGGGACAGTGCAGTGGGGGACATAACCAACCCACATAGGAAAGGTGTTGGCTGGGGTCCCAAGGCCGCCTTGATCATACTGGATGTACAAACTCTCATGATCTAGGCTTGCCAAGACTGGGGTTGGTTCATGGCATGAAATCCTGCTTTTCTGTCTCTCACTCTGGGTTTGTGTGTCTCTTAGTTTCATGAAATAACTAAATAAACTTTTAAAAATAATAAAAATATCCCAAGGGAAATGCTGGCATGGGCTGTGCGAGTGAACAGGAAAGCTGCACTTTTCTTGGGAAGTATGTGGGTTTTTTTTTTTTTTTTTTGGGGGGTAAGTGTTGTGGTTTTTTTTTTTTTTTTTTTGGGGGGGGGCGCGTATTTTGTCTCAGAACATATGGCAGAACAGAAAGAAACCAGCCATCATGACATGGACGTCCTAAAAATCCTTCTTTCCAGACCTGCTACCCTTTTATTGGGTTTGCAGAAAAGACCCAATAATCCAACTAATTCTTTTTCTTTTGAAATTTCTACTAAGTAGTCTTTTGTGAGGAAAAAAATAAAAACACAATGATTGTTCAGGAGTTAACTCTGTCAGCTGCTTGGGCATCAGCTGCTATGGATTTGGTTTAGCACTTCAAGGAAAACAGTCGTCGACTAGCTTTCACCGTCGGGCGCGTGTGACCTTGAGAAAACTATCATGTTATTTTTAGTGATATTTGCTAGAATTACTTTTTTTTAAGTTTGTTTATTTCATCCACTAGAGAGAGAAAAAGAGGGGGGTACCCACAAGAGGGTCCTTGCACCACAGTCCAGCCCCAGCCAGCTCAGATCACAGGTGTTGCATGTCCACCTGGCACGTACAGCAGGTCCTGGGGCGTGAGCCAGGGACCTTCCCGTGTGAGTCCAGTTACATTACCACTGCCCCATCATCCCACCCCCGCTCCCCACTGCCTTTTAAGAAAATTCTCCATTTGGGGACCAGCAGTTGGCATAATGGCTATGTCGCTGAACTCCCTTGTTGTCGACTGCGGTTCAAGTCCCAGACCTGGTGGCTTAAACTTACGCCGGGTGCATGTGTGTGCTTGCCCAAGATCCCAAGAGGAGAATGGAGGAGAAGGGGCTGCGGCAGGGACATCCCCCTTGGGGATGATTTCTTGCTTTCTGTCTCTTTGTCTCTCTCTGTCTTACTGGCGAGCACACATGCCCTATAGCAAAAAAAAAAAAAAAAAAACTCTCCAAAAAGAAAGAAAAGAAAATTCTCCGTTTCGGCTACTGAGGCTAATTCAGCGAAATCCCTCCTGACTTTCTTCACACTTTGCTGGTTTGCGGCCCATTTTATCCTTCTAGTCAGGGTGTGCTTCCCTTCCTTATGCCGCAGTTCGGTCCTTCATACCATGGTGGACAGCACAATGAGTTCTTCCTTACCTTTAGCTGAAGCACTTGCATCATGCCTCCCTGACAGCACACCTAGTACCAGGCCACACATTAACCTGTGTCACCCCTTCCTGGTTTGTGAGCACAGGAGGACAGATGCTGCCTTGCGAACACCTCCTGGCCCTACAGATTGCTCACTGAGTAGTGGATGTTGGTTGATAAAAGAGTGACTAGCTAATACTTGGTAGTATCCTGTTTACAGGTCTTTCAGTAACCATTGGTATATTGCTAAGTAAGGTGGCAGAAAGGGTCACCCGATGGACTAGTTCTTTAGAACATCCCTTAAAAATAGAAAGGAACAGGTAGGGCTTTGAAGCACATGCAGAATTCGGGCAGTTCCTCTGCTCATTAGGTAGCATAGACGCCGTGCTCCTTCCTCTGGACAGAGAAGACACCATCAGGTCAGGTCGTTGAGAACCAGAATTCCGCTGCTTGCCCCTTTCATTGTCTCTCGAAGGTCATTCCTACCTAACCTTGGTCCTCCCTGGTCAGGACTCTGCCCATGTTTTCCATATCTCACAATTGTGTAGTTCTTCAAACTGGATGATGCTCTTTATTAAGAGTCCAGCCAGTACTAAATATAGTAGGGAATTTATCTCAGATGTTAACACATGCGTGAGGCTCCACATAACAAACGCCACCTTTTAAGTGGCCACTGGTGCTGCGACTTATCTCACCACCAGTGCCCCCTTTTTCACTATGAGGGAAGCTGTCACGAAAAGCAGTTTACAGAAAACATTTGTAGGTGTGAGGGAAGAGAAGTTGACCTGCAAAGAAGAATTGCTGAGGGAGCTGATCCCAAGGATTGCTTTCTAGGCTTGGGTGACATGCCAGTTCCCACGACCTGCATTTCCCCACTGTGCTGTGTGGGAGACCTGTGGCTCCAGTGACCAGAGAGGTGCAGTTGCTTCCTCCTCTCCCAGTACAGTATTTCAAGAGAGGCAGCCTGTGAACTGCTCGTTCCTTTTCACAGGGGTTCAGCTGTCTAGCCACCACCATCTGGCCACATGAGCCAAACCCCAGGAACTGTGGTCACGTCACCTTCTCTTACCCCATCTAGCTGCCCGCTCTGCAGCACACCACTGCTGTATGCATGCCCCTCTGGCGCTCTGCTGCACGTGCTTCCACCTGCTCATTCTCCAAGGTTTGGTCTGTGACGTGTGCGTGCTGTCACTTCGGCCCCGGGACTGGAACTTCTCTCCACTCTCCTTAGCCTAAGGAGAAAGCTACGTGGTGGACGAGATCTCTATAATGGGAGCAGAGGGTACAGAAAAGGAGCGAGAACTCCACCACCCAGCTGGGAAGTCAGTGTTCTGTGCCTCTTGCAGTTACTCCTTAGGCTTTTTAGCCTTGTAACCACTGCCTCCAATCCCTGCCCGGATGGAAGTGTGTGCTGCTCAGATGGGGTGTGGGTGGGGTCTTTCCCCACTTGGCCCCTTCACTCCCTTCACCCCCCTTCATGGAGGTCCCCCTGGAACACAGCGCAGCCACCAGGCATTTCTGGGACTTATCCTGTACTTATTAATTTCACAATCTTATCAGAACTCTTCGCAGCAGAACATGTGATGAAGTGGTTTTACTAATCCCTCTACTGGGAGTTTTGTTTCTTCTTCAACAACTTGGTAGCCACTGTCTTTTTTCAGAAAAGCATTAACATGCATAACCACTATAGTTAACTTCAGTGCTCATTATTGAAGCCCAGAACTAATAGTTCATTGTCTTAATTTGACAAAGCCATCCAAATCTATGCCTGTTTTTGAAAGCTCCCTAAACATGCTGCTAAATCCCCTAAAAAGCTACTAAACTGCTTTGGCAGCCATCAGCCCCGCAGAAGCAGAGGCACTCTTTTCAGTAAGTGAACAAACAGAGAGAATATGCTGAATGGCTGGACAAATGTGTCTCAGCTGGTCCTTTCATTTACCGATGGACAGGCGCAGTCCATATCAATCACTGTTTTCCCTGTTGCCCTGAAAATCACAATCTCTCTTTTCATCCCACAAGCTCTTTTCACCACAGTAATGTGTCTTCAGAATGACACTGGCATCAGCCTGCTTCCGCTGTCTCAAGTCCGGAGAGCTTAAAAACACATTTTGGGATTCTTGAGCCTTCCTCCCCTTCCGTTTTCTTACCGCCTACTTTCTCCTCCCTCCCTCTGCATCCGTTCTGCCCCCTCCCCAGATTCTTTTCAATTCGCCCGGCCTTTC